TGTCCCTTGAATAATGTAAGCACAAAATGCCACTGAGGTACATCACTGCTGCATTTGCAATGCTTCAACGCCTATGCATTATTAAATATCTATATAGCCTTATATGGAAGTTGAAAGCTGTGGCAAAGGAGTGGTTGGCTTTTTATCACAGCTGCCTGCCCTTAAATTTTTAAAGCCATGGCCTCAATCGTTGCAGGTGCAGGAAAACAGCTCAGAATAATCTTTGTTGGTGATTCTGGTGTTGGGAAGACATCAATATTCAAATTATTTGAAAATCATGAAGTCTTCCAGTCTCCTGTACTCACAATTGATGCTCAGACAATAGAAAGAAACATTGTCATTGGGCCACCACATGAGACTGTAAAGGTTAGATTTATGATTTATTTATTAGATGATTGATAATGGTAATTATTTTAGCTCTTGATTTATGACACAGCTGGTCATGAAAGGTTTAGGACCTTCACAAGACAGTACTATCAAGATGCAGACATTGCCTTCCTTGTTTTCAGCATCACTGATGGTCCTTCATTCCAACATATTAGAGAGATATGGATGAAAGAGATGGCTGCTAACAGTAACAAAGAGGGTAACACTGAGATGATTCTGATCGGTAACAAGTCTGATCTGACTCATGAGAGGGTTAATTTTCTATCAACCAGCAAGCAATTTGCTGACCAATATCAGATGAGGTTTATTGAAATGTCTGCCATTGAAAATGATGATTTTCAAAAGTTGTACGACGTGCTTAAGGAAGCTGTGACCCATGTGATAAAGAAAGGAGGAGGAGGAACGAAAGAAAACATTGTGATTATTAACGATGATGAGCCAGCTCCACGAGATGATGGATGGTGTTCAAAATGCTGAAATTAAGTGACATGCAAACTTTATTAGGCCATGAGTATAGTGATACTTTTACTTCTTGATAACATAATTTACACAGTGTGAACTTTATGAATGTCTCAATAATGTCACCAATAAGGAGATATATGAATAGGAATATGAATAGGAGATATATGAATAGGTCAGTCTTGCTGAGGTTAACAACATAATACTGACACCATTTCCTGCAAGTGTCCAACACTAAATACAGGCATAATAATTACGCCACAATTTAATAGCTGTGGTTGCTATAGTAACATATTGATAATACCTTAGATGTGGTCAACCAACATGTCTGTATTATCTAATCGTATCATGTTGCTTCTGTTCAGTCATTGCAGCTGCATAATAATTACTATAATTTCAATTAAAAATTATCATTCTGATGAAAAATGGTGTGCAATAATACCTGTAATATACTAACACTACAACTATTGATGTAATTAGTGAAAGTTATAAAATTCTACAAGTAATCACATGCATGTACATCTACAGGTAATTCATGTATTTTATTCATTTATTTGTGACCATAATTGACAAAAGGGCCCTTATGGCGGATTTTAAAATTGATCGTTATAATGGAAAATATCAACCTGGGAGTGCTTTGTTAGACAATCATTGTTTCTAAAAGTTTCATGGTAACTTTTTGCATCCTGTGAAGTAATTTTATGATAAATGGGGCTCAGGAAGTTGGATTTCTTAGGCTGGAAAGACAAATTTCACTATCCACCATAAGGTACCTTTTGTCAATTATGGTCACATTTATTTATTTAACGTTATAACGGTAGGGTGGTGCTAGCTGCTGCCTGTACTGTACAGCTGTGCCTGATAACACCCACGCATTGCTGCTTCAAAAGGAGGCTAGCCCCAAAAATATGGCCATCGTTGGAGAGACGATAAAAGCAAGTTACAAGATAGTCTGCAACAGCAACATTCATTATCAGCCATAGGTCCTCTTTATTGGTGATCTTGCCGTTGGAAAAACGTCAATATTCAAATTATTTAAAAATCATGAAGTGAAGAAGAATCCTAAACATACAACAGACCCTGATATTGTCAGCAAAACTATTGTTATTGCAAATCCTCACACAACAGTAGAAGTAAGCTGCTTTTTCATGAAATTATATCTAATATAAATAATGATTAATAGCTGCACCTCTACGATACAGCAGGACAGGAACGGCACAAAACATTGACAAGACAGTTCTATAGAAATGCTGACATTGCTCTTCTTGTGTTCAGTATTGATGATGGTGATTCATTCCACCACATTGAGCAGGTTTGGAAACAAGAAGTTTTGAAGCGTAGTGAAAAGGACGATGTGAAGATGATTCTAATTGGTAACAAAGCTGATCTTTACGAAGAGAGGGTCAATGATATATCAACAAGCGAGCAATACGCTAGGAGACACGGCATGAAGTTCATTGAAATGTCTGCCATTAGAAAAGATGATTATCAAAAGGTGGACTCAGTCCTTCGAGAAACTGCAGCTGAAATTGTACATCAAGGAGGCAGATCTAGCTCTACTAATGAAGAGCATAGACCTGTACAAAGAGATGAAGTAATTCACATAGAGCCAGTGCCAAATCCTATCCATGCAGCACCTAATGAGCCACAACAAGAGCAACAGAAAAATAAAAGGTGTAAGCTTTGTTGAAGATGACTTAGATATATTATTATACTTTAAAAAATTTTCATTTAAAATACTTTTGCTTCAGTAAGAGATAGCTACTGGGTCTGGGAATAATGGATAAGGGAATGTATCACAGCAAAACACCCACACATTATTGATTTTTATCTATACCCTTACATGGAAGTTGAAAGCTGTCTGGCTTTGTATCAAACTGGCCCGGAGGGCCTGCCCTTAATTAGTTTTAAAGCTAGGGCCTCTGCTATGACCTCAATCGTTGCAGGTGCAGGAAAACAGCTCCAAATAATCTTCATTGGTGACTCTGATGTTGGGAAGACATCAATATTCAAATTATTTGAAAATCATGAAGTCTTCAAGTTCAAGCCTCCTGTGGTCACAACTGATGCTCAGACAATAGAAAGGAACGTTGTCATTGGACCACCACATGAGACAGTAAAGGTTAGAACTAAGATTTATTTATTATGATCATCTTTACACGTCTTTAGCTCTATATTTATGACACAGCTGGTCAGTGGTCAGAAAAGGTTTAAGCCTGGTTTCCTTACAACATGGCTGCAACAATAGTGGAGATAGAATCATAAAAATCAGGTCTATCTCTACAACAGTTGTATGTTAACCATGTATGGAGCACTGAAGCAGTGTGGATCAATAAATCAAGCAAGGCTGTGGAATTATGGAAACCAGGCTTTAGGAGGATCATAGGATGCAATTACCATTCAACATGTGTCCACTCAACACATGGGTGAGGTGGATTCAATATTAACTATTCAGATTTAGATTATTAGACTCTAGAGTGTATCTAGCTCCTGCATGCTGCATTGTTGTCAAATCCACAAAAATGTCATTATAGTAAGTGAGGAATGTGGCCATGCTGCATGTAGCAGCTAGCCAGCCCCTCCTACAAGCAGCTAGCTTGCAGCTATATATGGCTAGCTATATGACCTCAAACCTCGAAGGAAAAACGCTTAAGGTAAGAGATGAAAGGCTTTTTGTGAACCAGTAAATGTCTAATGATTTATGATATCCCCAGGTAATCTTCATTGGTGATTCTAATGTAGGCAAGACATCAATATTCAAATTATATATGCATCATAAGGTCGACCTCAAGACTATCTCCACAATTGGTGTCGAGACAAGAGAGAATATCATATACACCAAAGATTCAGATGAAAAAGTGCTGGTTAGGATTATAAATCTAAGAAATATAGAATTATAATGTGTTCTTTTAGCTATACGTGCATGACACAGCTGGTAGTGAACGATTTAAGTCTGTAACATGTCAGTTTTATAAAGAGACTGACATTGCTTGTCTTGTTTACGATGTTACTGATCAAGATTCATTCTACCACATTGGAGAATGGAAGAGAGAGATAGAAAATAATGCAGGTGATAGAAGAATCCAGATGATTCTAATTGCTAATAAATGTGATAAGACTAACGAACAGTGGAGAATCTCACCATCAGAAGGCAGGGAGTATGCTGAACAAAATAACATGAAGTTTATTGAAATGTCTGCACATTATAAGGAAGATTTTGAAAAGATTGATGACATTTTTAAAGAGGTTGTGGGCAAAGTGATAGCAGAAGGAGGAGGAACCAGAACCAATAGTAGTAGTGTAACGCTACATCAGGGTAATGCTACAGATCAAGAAAGGAGTTCCTGCTTGAAGTGTTAATTGATTTCAATGACTGATGCAAGAGGATGAGCCAAACTTTTGGTCTGCTGCTCAAGTTTTAAAATGTTGCATTTTATATTAATATGCAGTGTGCTTTATGACCATTATTATGATATAATTTTTTTAAAATTTAAAACTATTTTACTGAGTATCAGTAATGATACCTTTGTATGCTATAATTATAGACTTCATTCTGGCATTGAGCAGTTTGGAGCTTTGAACCATAACACTGAAAAGGACATGATGATGATTCTCATTGGCAACAAGGATAATTTTTACAATGAAAGGATCAACTCTTAACAGCAACAGGAAGTCGGTGCTTTTGTTGAAGACTACTTATACAATTACTTTTATATACTTTTCTATTGTCCATTCTAGTTATCCCTTGAATAATGTAAGCACAAAATACCACTGAGGTGCATCACTGCTTTAAACTGCATTTGCATTTTTAGCTCCTACTTCAACGCCCACGCATTATTAAATCTGTGCAGCCTTATATGGAAGTTGAAAGCTGTAGCAAAGGGGTTGGCTTTTTATCAAAACTGCCTGCCTTAAACCTTTAAAGCCATGGCCTCAAATGCTGCAGGTGCAGGAAAACAGCTCCAAATCATTTTCATTGGTGATTCTGATGTTGGGAAGACATCAATATTCAAATTATTTGAAAATCATGAAGTCTTCCAGTCTCCTGTAGTCACAATTGATGCTCAGACAATAGAAAGGAACATTGTCATTGGACCACCATATGAGACTGTAAAGGTTAGAACTAAGATTTATTTATTATTGATAATGGTAATGTTTTTAGCTCTATATTTATGACACAGCTGGTCAGGAAAGGTTTAGGACCTTCACAAGACAGTATTTTAGAAATGCAGACATTGCCTTCCTTGTTTTCAGCATCACTGATGGTGATTCATTCCACCACATTAGAGAGATATGGATAAAAGAGATTGCTGATAACAGCAGAGAGGGTGACATTGAGATGATTCTGATTGGTAACAAATCTGATCTGGCTGATGAGAGGGTTAATCCCCTATCAACTAGCAAGCAATTCGCTGACCAATATGAGATGAGGTTTATTGAAATGTCTGCCATTAAAAATGATGATTTTCAAAAGTTGTACGACGTGCTTAAGGAAGCTGTGACCCATGTGATCATAAAGAAAAAAGAAGGAGGAGGAATGAAAAAAAAGATTAAGATTATTAACAATGATGAGCCAGCTCCACGAGATGACAAATGGTATTCGAAATGTAGAATTTAAGTGACATGTAAACTTTATTAGGCCATGAGTAAAGTGATACTTTTACTTTTTGATAACAATAATTTACACAGTGAACTTTATGAATGCCTCAATGATATCACTGATAAGGAGATATATGAATAGGAGATAATATGAATAGGTCAGTCTTGCTGAGGTTAACAACATGATACCGGCACCATTTCCTGCAAGTGTCCAACACTAAATGCAGGCATAATAATTACGCCACAATTTAATAGCTGTGGTTACTATAGTAACATATTGATAATACCTTAGATGTGGTCAACCAACACATGTCTGCAATATCTAATGTTGCTTTATATTCTGGTCAGTCATTGCAGCTGCATAATAATTACTATAATTTCAATTAAAAATTATCATTCTGATGAAAAATGGTGCGCAATAATACCTGTAATATACTAACACTACAACTATTGATGTAATTAGTGGAAGTTATAAAATTCTACAAGTAATCACATGCATGTACATCTACAGGTAATTCATGTATTTTTATTTATTTATGTATTCTTAATTAGTTTGTCTCTCCTTTTTCGCATAAATATCCTTAATCACTTCTACCGTTTCATCAATCAAAAATTCCAAAATCTCATCTGCAGTCCTTTTCTTAATTTTATCCTCTTCCAGTCTGTAGTTGATCCAAGAAGGCTCCTCCTGCCTCATCTCACTTAGTAAGATGCTATCAATAAAATCCACTTCTTTTCCACCCGTTCTGCGATTGTTGTGGAGATAGCGGCGCGGAGAGGAGGTAGAGGGTGTGGTCTCTTCCGCTGCTCAAGGAGGGCGTGTACCCTGTCTTGAACATGCTCCAAGGTAGAGCAGCTTATTTTGTGACTGATTAGCGACCCTGTCCTCTCTCCCTCCATCACTCTTAGTGCCAGATTAAATACCAAGTGTACGAAAGACTTCTCACAGTTCAACATGACCCCAGTCTTAGGCTGCGTTTACACGGCAACGAAAACGATGCAATCCGTTCAGATTTGTGCCTGTTTTATGCTTCTGTTTACACAGAAACGATTGAAAACGTGATAGAATCGTTTTAAAAACGATACGTTTTGCGTTGCTGTGTAAACGCAGCCTTATTGCACAACTCATTTATCAACTCTTGAGATGGTACCAGCTGAGGAGGGGTCTGTTCTTTAGAGGGTTTGGCCAGTTGGGAGGATATGTGGTTCTTAAGAGTGTTCCAAGCAGATTGAACAATACGATTAACTTGCTGTCTTGAATTCGGTACTAGAGCAGTGGAGAATGATATCCCTCTCTCTTTATTGACACTTTTATTAATCTTAACTTCTACTATAGAAACTTCTGCTTTAGCTTCCTCTTTGCTTTTAACAGCTTCTCTCTCCTCCTCCTCCTCATCTTCTTGGTTCAATGCTTCTCTAGTGTCTCTTATATTACAAATCAGGTCAACCTCTGATTGAACTAAAGCTGACAGCAACTGATCAATAGAGGCTTCTGTATCAGGTCTTTTCTTCTTGCTCCATATATCAGCTACACTCTCAAACTCTCCATCTTTAATTACTTGATCGTCTTCTCCTTCTTCAACTTCAACTACTTTAACTAGCTCCTACTTCAACGCCCACGCATTATTAAAGAAGAGTATGTAGCCTTATATGGAAGTTGAAAGTTGTAGCAAAGGAGTGCCTGCCCTTAAATTTTTAGAGCCATGGCCTCAATCGTTATAGGTGCTGGAAAACAGCTCCAAATAATCTTTATTGGTGATTCTGGTGTTGGGAAGACATCAATATTCAAATTATTTGAAAATCATGAAGTCTTCCAGTCTCCTGTAGTCACAATTAATCCTCAGACAATAGAAAGGAACATTGTCATTGGGCCACCACATGAGACTGTAAAGGTTAGAACTAAGATTTATTTATTATTGATAATGGTAATGTTTTTAGCTCTCTATTTATGATACAGCTGGTCAGGAAAGGTTTAGGTCCTTCACAAGACAGTACTGCAGAAAAGCAGACATTGCTTTCCTTGTTTTCAGCATCACTGATGCTGATTCATTCCACCACATTAGAGAGATATGGATGAAAGAGATGGCTGGTAACAGCGGAGAGGGTGACACTGAGATGATTCTAATTGGTAACAAGTCTGATTTGATGGATGAGAGAATGAATCCTTTATCAACTAGCAAGCAATTGGCTGAGCAATATCAGATGAGGTTCATCGAAATGTCTGCCATTAAAAATGATGATTTTCAAAAGTTGTACGGCGTACTTAAGGAAGCTGTGACCGATGTGATAAAAAAAGGAGGAGGAGGAATGAAAGAAGACATTGTGATTATTAACGATGATAAGCCAGCTCCACGAGATGGCAGATGGTGTAAATCATGTAGAAAGTGACATGTAAACTTTATCGGGCCACGAGTATAGTGATACTTTTACTTTGGTGATAACAATTTACACAGTGTGAACTTTATGAATGCCTTATGTCACTGATAAGGAGTGAGACTAACAACATGATATACCATTCCCTGCATGCAGGTGTTCAATACTATGCGGGGATAATACATTACACCAAAATTTAATAGCTGTGGTTACTATGTGCTATAATAGTAACATAATTATTGGTAGTAGTTTAGTAAACCAATACATGTCTGTATTAGCTAAACATAATACACTAGGCAACATTTGTGGTTACTTTGATCTTGTAAGCCACATGTTGCTAGAAATAGAAAGATGTTCTATTTTTGGTAACATGTTGCTTAGTTGCTAGCAACAAGTTGCCTCGTGTATGAAGGCCTTTAAGCAACATGTTGCCAGAAATAGAACAGCCTTCTATTTCTGGCAACATGTTGCTTACAAGATCAAAGTGACCACAAATGTTACTAGCAACATGTTGCCTAGTGTATGGGGGCCTTAACATGTTGCTCTGTATTCTGGTCAGACATTGCAACTGCATGATAATTACTAAGATTTCAATTTAAAATTATCATTGTGATGAAAAATGGTGTGCAATAATACCTGTATTATACTAACACTACAACTATTGATGTAATTAGTGGAAGTTATAAAATTCTACAAGTAATCACATGCATGTACATCTACAGGTAATTCATGTATTTTTATTTATTTATTTATGTATTTTTAATTAGTTTGTCTCTCCTTTTTTGCATAAATATCCTTAATCACCTCTACCGTTTCATCAATCAAAAATTCCAAAATCTCATCTGCCGTCCTTTTCTTAATTTTATCCTCTTCCAGTCTATAGTTAATCCAAGATGGCTCCTCTTGCCTCATCTCACTTAGTAAGACGCTATCGATAAAATCCACTTCTTTTCCACCCGTTCTACGGTTATTGTGGAGATAGCGGAGAGGAGGTAGAGGGTGTGGTCTCTTCCGCTGCTCAAGGAGGGCGTGTACCCTGTCTTGAACATGCTCTAAAGTAGAGCAGCTTATTTTGTGGCTGATTAGCGACCCTGTCCTCTCTCCCTCCATCACTCTTAGTGCCAGATTGAATACCAAGTGTACGAAAGACTTCTCACAGTTCAACATGACCCCAGTC